ATTCAGGAACCTTACATAATAATTATTAAGATTTGGATACAATTGTAATGATTTCATTACTCAGGCTATTAGGGGTATTTTAGTCATTTTACCATCAAGGGAAATTATGATAATTGGACTAATGAGGATAAATGTAACACCTCAACCCGTATCCAACCCAAATACGAGTCCAAGGTGTCACCTTAACTTTTTAAAACATATACATTCATAAAAATTATACGAAATTTTAAACTTTCTTTAACACAAAAGTCATATTTACATAATTAAGTTCGATAAATTACAAAATTGATTAGAGTGTGCATAAATTACACTTTTGTACATGCCAATACCTTTGACCCAACAAAATACATACAGTGATTTACTTCTGATCTGATCTTTAAGTGAAGATATGCTGCTCCGCCAATCCTAAGGTTGATCCTTTTGCTTTTCTGTACCTACGTGTAAATCACTTACACGCTAAGTCATCGACTTAGTGAGGCATAAACATATAATAAATATTTTCTATAAATATGAATATGAAAGCAACTAACTAGTAATTAGTAATAATTATGCTTATCATAAATCCACAATGATATATATAAATCAATATGAACAATAATAACATGTTAACATATGATCATGCACATACATCTTATATTTTATAAGCCCATGTATATTCCCGAAAACTCTAGGTATACGAGTACTTTGAGGTTGTGCACACATATGTTGTTACCACAACTCATATAAAATCCATTAAGTGGCATATGAAATCTTTGTCCCGAAGGACCTATCCATATGTTCTGAAGAACATAGGTAACTGTCCATATCTCCCGAAGGATATAGGTAAACTATCAATATGTATCGAAAGACACAGGTAACCCTCGACTCTTGGCATGCCAACTATACCTATAGCTCTCATATAACATGGGCTTTTATCATTTATTCTATCATATGTTTACATATTCATATCAACATATAGAACATTTCCATATGATTCATATTCACATGTCACATGACTGGTATTTTGTTCTTATGTATTCTCATAGACATAAATTCACATAATCATATCACTCATTCTTATATACATGTACTCATATAGTCCATTTCACATAAGTAAATAAACTCCTAGTTTCTTATCGAGTATACCATAGAATATTCTGGTAAAGTCTCATGAATCAAACAAGTTTAGGTCATATTCCACTTAAACATATTAACTTTTCTATATAACTTATTTGACACATTTATATACTAATTTATGTCATAATTATTCCATTGTTATCATATATATTTATGTATTCTTATTATAACTATAATCTCTATGAATCTATTTATGCATACATAATAGTCCTATCAAACACATATTAACACTCATGTATTTATACAATCCAATATGGGAATTAGACTTACCACGAGTCTTATTCCATACACATCATTTACATGCACTCACCTGAGCCTTGCTTACTTTGAATCGATCATAATTCTTCGATTGTTTCGGAACGAAATTACGTTTTATATCTATATAATCATACATAGATCCATATCAGTATTCTAATTGATATACTCTAATATTTCATTCCTTAAACTAAAAGAAATGCTACTTTCATTTCTTATTTAAGGTAAGTATCGGTACACTCTATATTGTATCAATATATTATTTAACATGTGTATCGATACACTACCTATGTATCGATACACAAATTACATTCGAAATTTTTCCTGTTCAAGGGGGTATCGATACACTCCTTAATGTTTCGGTACACTTTGAACGTATTCTCAGATTTTACTCTTGATGTATCAGTACATATTGAATGTGTACCGATACACACCAGCCCAAAAATCAATTTTAAGCACGAAAATTCATTCTTTTCAACTTCAACACTTCATGTTCCATCCCCTTTCATATACTAAACTCAAATACACATACTTAAGCCCATCTGTACTCATTTATCACATCTTAAATCTCAAAATCTTATCCTCTGCATGGAATTCAAGAATCATACTCAATTTCTAACATGTTCTAAATCCAATTCTAATACTTCATATTCCTTAATTCCACTAATGACAAGTCAAATTTAGTCTTGAAACTTAATTAATACATTCATATCAAAATTTCACTTATTCCCCTCTTTCTTTAATCCCTCTTAACTCTCTTATCTTTGAATTTTAAGGTAACTTAAGCTTTCCTTAAGCTTAAGTATAATCTAAATAACAAAACCAAACTTAAATTTTAACTATAATCAACTAATGAGAAATCTCACCTTTGTCCACTAGCCTTCACGTATAGGAGAAGAGAAAGTAACTCTGGAAACTCATTTGGTCTCCCCTCCTTCCACGTGGATTAATATATAACCATAAACATAAATTAATTATTCCTTTATTAAATGACCAATTCGTCCTTGTAATCCTCTTCTTTGTAATTCAATCCTACAAAACATTTCCCAAATAAGTCATTAAACTATTCAATTGTTCTACTTTAATCCTTAAATTCTAAAAATTTACAATTTAATCATTAACCCAGTATTGAGGGTGTTACAATAAAAGGACAAATTTGTAGTATTCCATATTCTTTAATGATTTATAGACTTTTAAATCCCATCAAATGAATTGGAGTTCAAATGCAGTATTTACGATTATTCAGACAAAAACATTTCTTGATATTTCTTGCTACCGATTGTATTATTACTTGAACATATCATTTTCACAAACCATCATTGAACATGACTCAAGGAGGTATACTTGTATTCAGGTGGTATTCCTTTCCAATATTGTAATAGTCACAATGAGGGTCAGTATACTTAGGTTGTACTCCAAAAATCCTTAAAGGTGTTACAACATTTAAAGCTTTACTGGTACTTTCATAACTTTTCACAAACATTTCCTTAATCCAGGTCATAAGGGTATTTAAGTCATTTCAACACTCAGAGTTATTCTAATCATTTCAGAATTCCATAGTAATTGGTTATTTTAGTCATTCAGATTCATAGTACTTTCATATTTATTCTAAATCATAATATCCATTATGTTGCGATCTCGAAGTAAGGAATCAATTATCATGATTTTCAATTCAAATCATGAATTAACCGATGAATATGTAGTCTAGTAAGTCAAAAATGAATTTCTATGAGAGGAGATTCGGTCCCTTTTTTATTTCAAGGGTATTTCAATCAGATCATTCAATTTTTTCATATGCATCACTTTCAGTAAATCATTCTTTAGGTGTTTACACAAGAATCAAATTTCTAAGTCTTTTTCCAACTCGTAAGCTAAAATCGATTTTTGGGATTTTTCTAAATAGTACCAACATTTAACAGGTGAATTCAATGGTTTTACTTGGCCAAATATAACTTTTCAAGGTTATTTCCACTTTCAAAGACAATTTTTTTTTTACATCTCATGAGTTTTTTTTGTAATTTCTTGTCCATGTATTTTCGACATTTAACCTTTAACAAAATTAATCAGAATTTATAAATCATGAGATTAATTAATTTACCAATTAATCACTGGTCTCAAAATTATTATTATCGACCTTCCAATTCCTTGAATGAGTTATATGAATCTTATTCAGTTTACTGCCTTTATAGCATTCAATTCAAATTTTAAAATAATTAAATTTACACATACGACCTGTCTTATCTTCAGCATTAATCAATACTAACTTATTCCATAAAGCATGCAAAAAGGTAGTATTGTGGCCTAGCCTAGTTGGTATAAGTATGGTTGGTCTTACTCTATGCCCTATTTTAAAATCTTCGTAATAGCACATTTTTATTGTTTTTTTAGCTGAAATAAGAGGGTCAAATCCAAGTTTAGGTCCTTAACTTTAGAACATTTAAAAATAGTCTTAAAATCTTTAAGATCTCACAATCTGGTCCCAAAATATACTAATTAAGCTTTTAAACTTAATCTTAAAAGTTGGGGTGTGACATGTATCCAAAATTTGTAATTTTGTATTCTTTAAATTTTTTAACATGAGTTTTTAAGTTTGTGTGCATAGTATAAAATTATATGCCAACCCGCTATTTATAATCACATTTTTACCTTCAAACTTTGATAAACTCAACTATTTTTTATCTTTTTTTACTCTAAAATTTTTATTATTTTTTTCAAATTAAATAAATTAAAAATAAATATTAATAGCCCATCTTTAACATTTTAACATTTTAATTATTTTTTAAATATATTTATTATTTTTTCATATTCTAAATATTTCAAACTTTTCTTAAAGACAAAAGTAGTTAAATCCTAACCCTTAATTTTAAAACCTTTAATTACTTTTTTTTCCAATTTACTAACATCATAATCTTATTTTCTACTGTTTTTTTTATTTAGTTATTTTAAGACCTTTCGATTTTAAAATATCGATTTAAAAATATCTTTGATTTTTACATTTTAATGTTTTAAATTAAACAATCTTTACCTCTTTATAGTTTTAACATTTTTACATTTAATTGTTTTTTAAATATATTTTATTTTTTCATATTCTAAATATTTCAAACTTTTCTTAAAAGACAAAATAGTTAAATCCTAACCCTTAATTTTAAAACCTTTTAATTACTTTTTTTTCCAATTTTACTAACATCAATAATCTTATTTTCTACTGTTTTTTTATTTAGTTATTTTAAGACCTTTCGATTTTAAAAATATCGATTTTAAAAATATCTTTGATTTTTACATTTTAATTGTTTTAAAATTAAACAATCTTTCCCTCTTTATAGTTCAATTCTAACTGTGTTCATATATTAATTTGAATTTACTAGGGAATATTATAAAAGCAGACGTCGGAATTACATCAGATTAAATTAAAATGGTTATATCCAAAACTTTGACGTAGTATAATGACTAAAACTAGAATTAAACCCTCGAATTTCCCATCTGGAAGGTGGCTTCCACCTGTAGGAGATGATGGTCCACACATATACGGGTAGATATTTTTGCAGCGAACTGGCAGATATTTCGGTTTCATTTGCAGGCATAAAACTCTATCCAAAAATCAAACAATCCTAATCAGCAGTCGAACAATCTCCAAAGAAACATCAATGGAAAGCCTTGCTGTGAGAGTTATTCCGGTCCCCAAACCCTCTTTTTTCCACAGGAAAAAGGGTTTCCCTTCTTGGCCACCGTGTAAGCAGAGCAGCAGCAGCTCCCATTCTTTCACCCGGTTAAACTGTCACAAAATGTTTGTACCTGGTGTGTAATTAACCCATTTCGCTCTACCATATTTCGTGCATGATGTCCAAGATATGAGGATTTGTTTCTTTTTGCAGGGTTTGGAGAGGCATCACCAGAGGCAAAGGCATCCAAAAACCTACACCATTTCTTCAATTACATAGCTGTTAAGATAGTCGGTGCACAGCTTGAGGTTCTCTTCCCAACTTTTACGTATCTCTCTCTATTAATTATGGTTCATTGGGGTTTAGTGTTTTGTAACTATTACAATAATGCCCAAATTGTATGGTTGGTATTTGTACTCTGTATAAGCCGTGGATTTTTAAAATTTTTGAGGGACTTAAATGAGATTTTTTTTTTCAAGTGGGGTCTAATTATAATTTTCAAATATATTGGGAGATAATAAAAAATTTAACAATTTTAAGGGACCTAATTAAAATATATATAAAGAAATTAATGAGTATAATTCAGATTTTCAGAATTTCTATCTAAAATTATCAAACTGAAAAACAGGTAGTATGGACTAGGAATAGACATTTGACCTGAATTTGATGAATTTCAACTTGATAGGAATGAAATTATATATACAAGTTAGGTCAAGTGTGATTTTTTATCCTAAAATTATATCGACTATTGGGTCAAGTGAAATTCTCCTAAACTCAGGTCGGGTGGGGGGGTTTGATCTTTGGGTTGGGTTTGGGTGACCCGGCTCATTACTAAAAATAATCAAATTAAACACATGCATTAAATTCACAAATAATACAAGTGCTAATCTTTGAATTTAACCTATAATAATGCTATGTTTCATCTCGTAAGAGCTACAACCCTGAAGCTTACGAGGACTTGATGGAGTTTCTGGAGACACACTCGTTGAACGATGGGGATGAGTTTATTGCCAGCTTGATGAGGGAATCTCCAAGCCATAAAGCTCTAGGTATGTAATTCTATGTTATTCGGATTCGAGTATGACTATATATACGGCACTATAATGATTAGATTACTTTAAAAACTTTAACGTAATCATTTCAACTTGCGACGAATTTCACTGGAATTTCCTTTCGGCACGACGACAGCCCTGCGCATCTTAACGGTCGGTACATCAGATATTTTCTGCAAAAATATTCATTTCTTCTACATTTCTATGCTAAAAATGGATCGGTTAAACCTTGTTATATATCATTGTATAGGTACGATCTGCATATTGCAAACATGATTTCGAGTGGGACAACTTAAAGCGCTTAGCTTTCAAGGTCAGCAAGCCATCATCTCTCGGCCAATGTGTGCATGTGTATATGTATGTGTGTATGTATGGACCTTTGATGTCTTGGTATGGTGTGCAGATGGTGGAGGAATCCAACACAAAACTCATGAGGGAATATGTTTTGGAAACCAGTCATATAACCGAAAAAGAAACCGGCAAGTGATCCGACTCTCGGCTCGAGCTCGCCGATGCCTCTTTGGGTCAGATAGATTATACATGAAGGATGGAATTGTTGTGGTGTATCCTACCTCGTTGTATCCAAATACACAGTACATAACAGAGTATTAAACAAAGAAGTAACATATAAAAGCATTATTGAAAGTCTGTGCAGATCTTTTTCTTAACATTGATTGTGTCTTTAGGATTTGGGCACATGGGTTGTCGATTTGGTCGCATAAATTGAACCAATCAATCTCATTGATTGGGTTGGATTGGATCCTCTATCTTGCACGGTTTTTTCCCTTAGAGGGCAAAAAAAATTAATTATTTAGCCTAATAGGGAACATTGATATTTAATTAAGGATCTACATATTTGTTACAGTGAACTGTTGGATATAATTTTTTAATGATCCCATATGTGGGCCTCATGTGGGTCAATATTTTATTATTTTCAATGGAACTCATCACCTCGAAATGACGAGTCTATTTAAAAATTAGTTTTTAACCGTTATTGAATAATTTGGAAATTAAAAAAGACCCCACAAACTATTCAGGTTGAGGTGAAGAGTTCGATGGAATTTTTGAATTAACTAGTCGTTTATGAACGTTGCACAATAGGCAAATACAACGGGCAGCTACAACGTCACCATAGAACTCGTCACTTGCTCACTCTCAATCGCACACATCTCTCTCTCACCCACTCTGCTCTCTCTCTCTTGTCCACTCTTGCCCACGACCTCTCTCTTGTTTGTCTATATTTCTCTCTCTCATTCTCTCCCACTATCTCTCTCATGTTCTCTTTATCTCTCGTACTCTCTCTCTCTCGTACTCTCTCTCTCCCTCTCTCGTACTCTATCTCTCTCCCTCTCTCGTACTCTATCTCTCTCACCCACTCTTGCCTGCTCTCTCTCCTCTACTCACATTCTCTCTCTACCATTTTGCCCACACTCCCTCTCTCACTCTATCTTATTATCTCCAACTCACTCTTTTTTCTTTCTATCTCCTACTCTTCTCTCTCACTCTTACACACCACACTCTCATTCTTTCTCTCTCTCACCCATTCTTGCCCATTCTCTCTTTCTCTCTCCCTACTCTATCTTTCTCTCCCCTACTCTTCGTCTCTCTTACCCACTCTGAACACACACTCTCTTTCTCTCAATCTCTCTCATTCTCCTAACTCGCTCTCTCATACTCTTTCTCTACTCTCGCTCACTTTTCCCATTCTCTTTATCTCTTTCCCCTCTCTATGCTACTTTATCTCTCTCGCCCACACACACACACACACTCTCTCTCTTGCACACACACACTCATATACTATCTCCCTCTGTCTCTCATCCACTCTCTCTCGCCCATTCTCTCTCTCTCTCTCCGCTCACTCTCTTTTTTCCTCACTCTCTCACTCTCTCACTCTCGCCACTCTCTCCCACACTATCTTTCTCTTTTTGCCTCTCTCATTCTTGCCACTCTTGCCCTCTTAATCACTCGCTCACTCACTCCTACACACTCTCTTTTGCCTATCTCTCTCGCTCTGACCCACACTCTCTCTCACACTCTCTATCTTTCTTGTAGTCACCCATTTTCGTCCGATCAATATGTTAAATAATATAAACGTTTTATTATATAACATGCATATCATTTATATTATGAAAACCGTGGTTTTTTTAATATATATTATATTATACAAACTACTGTTATAATTTTGGGTTTGTTTTTATGTATAGGCCCAAGTCAGCCTTGTCAAGCCCACACGTGCAAAAGGTTAAGGTTTCGTAGCTTCCCCTTAGCGCTGCACAAACCAGCATTCGAAGGGTAAACCGGCGGTCGAATAAAGAACTCTTGGAGAGTCCTCACTCCAGCAACAACTCCTTCCACATTTTCCGGCATATCGTGGACTGCATACAACAACCATATAGTGTTTTAGTTTAATTATAACTTTAGATCCACCAAAAAATAGGGGTACCTTAAGCTATAAGTTAATGTAAAAACGAAAAGAATAAAACACACAAGAAAATTACGCAAGGAAAATACAGAGAAAATACACAAGGAATCTACTTGTAAAGCTTCGAAAAGAAAATAAAAAAGAGGTAAAATTCTTACCTTTTCTCGGTTCTTGTGCATTGTAAACCTCGAGTTTTGCTTGAATTTGTTTCTTTTCTTGGTTCGAAAGGCCGATGAAAAGGGGAGGGCAGCCGAACATTCTTTTTTAGATTTATCCTCCCTGAGGCTTGTTTTTAAAACTAAGGTAATTTCGAGATGGGGGAAGAATTTCGAAAGCTGTAAAAAAAAATTTGGCCACCGCCGATGAACGGTGACCGACCAGATTCGGGTTTGGTAGCCATGTTCTTCATTTTAATGAAGAACACGAAGAACAAACCATAGAAAATTGGGTTTTGGCTTTGATTGATTTAGGGGGAAGGGGGAAATGATTTTTGTTCTGAAAATTGGGTTTTATATGTGACCCGATTTCGACCCGCATATTGACCCGATCCAAGGCCATGATCGTGTGTTTTCAATTTAAAAGGGGGGAATTCCAGTTTTTGGTCTCCGTTTTTTTTAAAAAGCTTATTTGACCTCCTAAATTGAATTTTTACCCGATTTTGCTTTGAAATTTACCACCAATATGTTTTTCTTTCAATTTAGTCCTTTATTATTAATATTATTATTATATTTTTTCTTTATTAATTTAACATTAATATTATCTACATACTTTCTATTTACTTTTTCTTCTTTTTTTATTTCTTTTTCTTTATTATTTTTTCCTAATATATATATATATATATATATATTTCATGTTTTTTTATTTTTCTTACATAACGTTTTATTATATATATATTATTCATTATATATATATATATATATATATATTAGTTTTTTGCATTATTTTTTTCTTTATTTAGTTTATTTCTTAACCTAATATTTATTTATATATATATTTTTTATTATTTTATTATTTCTATTTTATTATTATTATTATTATGTTTTTATTATTATTTTTCATTTTTTTATTTTTTTTTTTTTTTATTTTTTTTTTTTTTTTTTTTATTTTTTTATTTTATTTTTATTTTTTATTTTATTTTTTTATTTTTTATTTTTTTATTTGTTTTCTTAATTTAATTAACTTATTTGGTTTTTACTTTTTATATTTGTATTTATTTCAGGACATTTTTATAGTTAGTCTTTTTGATTCTGCATTATTTTTTCTGACTTTTTAAGGGATGCTTTTAAATCCATTAAAGGTGAGTAATTCAGATCGAACTTTTATCTTTCAATTTAAATTATAATTTTCTTAATTAAGACAACTGAAAATAATTAGTACGAATGGGCAGTTTAAGGGTGTTAATCTTCTTTGACTGTAACGACTCCCGAATCCGACATATCTTTGGTAAGACACAAATCAGGTAAGAAATCACGGTGTCTGATCAACCCATTCTTTGTTTAAAAAATGATAGGTGGCGACTCTAACCATTTTTTCAAGTCAAATCCCAATTTCGGGCCCACCCGAAGCTGTTGTAACATTCTCCCTCTCTCCCACTCTCGTCCTCTCTCACTCTTCCCCTCTTTCCCCGTTCTCTCTTGCCCACACTCTCTAGGTAGGTTAGTGGTGTCTAGGTTGAGTTTATGCACAGTATAACTAGGGATGATATTTATTCGGATTTGACGAGTTCTAATTCGGTTCGATCTAATCATGTAGGTTTTTTGGAAAATTTAGATTTGAATTGAGTCAGGTTCTTTTAGGGTATAATTGGGTCAAATTGAATCCAGATTTAAGGTGAAAAACACTCTATCGACATAATATTTTTGCCTTTATATATTTAAGAGACCCTCTTAAACCTAGGTTAAGTAATGTATATATAGAGAACTTCAGTTTTTAGATTAAGTTCAAGACAACCAAAATTCGATCCGACTCATTGTCATCCTAAATATTTAATACATGTTTTTAAGTTTGGTGGAATATATTTTAACTTTTGGTGACATTGATTCAGGGTCAAAGCAAAGCTACGTCCCCTCACTCCCTCCTCTAACAAGATGTAGCTAAGACTCAAAGTTCTTCAAATATGGAGAATGGCCAATCCTTGTAGTGTTGGAATAAAAGACATGCACCTCCTCTATAATATTGTAGAGAGAACTATATGGGTAAAAACCAAACAAAGAAAATAAATAATATAATCGAACAGTGTCATGTTATCTCATCATTTAAAATATCGTGTCTTCTTATATCACTCGCATACCCTTCTACAATTCAAAAATAATAATTATCACCACAATGTCAAAAAAATAATAATGACATGTTTATAAAACTCACATCTTTCTATGTCGGTCTCAAGTTAAGTCACTTATAGAATCCTTTGATCATAGAAAGACAATTATTATATCATACCATATTAATACCCTAAAGAGCATACTCAAAAATATCCATATTAATACACCTAAAGAGCATACTCAAAACTAATGAATTTGAAATAGCATCTCCGAATGGGAAGTCTTAAACACTCAACATCCCTTGAGAGTTCCGAAAGAATGATTTCAAAGATCTAAATCTCGGGAAGTCATAACTTATTGATATTACTTTTGACAAGACCATGTGACTTGTCAGAGTTAAGTCCACTGTCACCTAATCTTATCCATTTAGTCAACTAGTATACGAGTAGCTATATTGATCATACAATTAACAAACCATTAAAGATCACTATAAAATCTCTCAACGTACCAAGTCTGAGATAGGGATGTGATTCAAAAATTACCTCACCTTTATTCTCCTTTGTTCTATCTCCTCCAGGAGACATAATACTTTGACACCGTCCAACAAGCGATCTAATATTGGCTGCAGCTCTCTACTCAAACTAGACTGGGTGAACTGTCTATAGTCATCATAATTTATTTGATCTCATCAACAAATAGTTAGAGTATCTTAACCTCTAATAGTTAATATCAATAAATTAATATTGATATATAAATAACATGTAATTTTATGTTCGATTAGTAAATTTAATGATGAATATTTATAAAAAAAAGGTATAGTATCCATATGTTTCTCTATTATAGGGTGTTATTTTCTGGAGTTATCAACTATCAAAAGTTATAAAAGATCCTATAACTATAGGATGTTGTTTTGTTGAGTCATCGACTATTAAAAGTTACAAAATGATCACTGACTATTCATATGTTCTAAACTTATCATTTTCGTTAAAAAAATGATGACGTTTGAGCTGGTTAATTTGTGAACATAATGAATAGTAAAGTGGCCATTTTGTAACTTTAATAGCCGAGGGACTCAACAAAGCAACATCCTATAGTTGGGGACCATTTTGTAACTTTTGATAGTTAAGAGACTCAACAAAATAACACCCTATAATCGAGAGATCATTTGTGTACTTTACCCAAAATCACGTAAATTTAATTTAAAATGTGCATCAAATATAAATGGTAAGAAAAATAAAATACTATTTATCTTTCTTTTTAATACAATATTTTTGGATTACTATTTTGTTTTTTAACCCAATTGAATTTCCATAATTGTGAGAGAGAAAAACCATCTTCTAACAAATTGAAATTAAACAAAATAATATAATAATAAAAAGAAAAAGAAAAAAGAAAGGTAAGGAACCCTTGCATCGTACAATTCCTTCCATTTATTTTAACGATAGCTATATCAGTTCAATTTCTAGGTTTTCATGTTCCTACCCAAGGCAAGGTAGCTGTATACCCCAACTGATCTTGGCTTGGCTTCAAGGTACAAACCTTTCTACGTGCTCTGTTTTCTCTAATCTTTGTTGGGTCTCGAATTCTTTATTAGACAGAACTTGGGTGAACGTTTGATCAAGTTTCCTCGTTTTCATTTTCCTCTTCTGGATATTTCTTTTAATTTAATTTCTTTATTAGAAAAAATTTAAAGAGTAGAATTCATGGGTTTCTTTTATTGTTTCTTTCTGTCTAAGAAACTGATTACCCGAAGGCTAAAATGTTGGAAAAGTAGTGTTCCTTTGTAAATTTTGTTAGGGTTCTTTTAGTAGTGGTTTCTAGCAATGAAAATGGTATGTAGAATTGTCAAATAGTGAAATAGGTTGTTATTTGTGGATTTTTTTCATTACCCTGAAAAATAATGTCATTTTTCTCATATTGTGTGTTACTTTATTTGCAGTAAATAAAGAAGTTTCAGATACTTATCAAAATTTGGTATTGAGGCTTTCTTATGATATGCATCTTGGTTATCGGACTGAGTGCTTAGTGTGTTCTTTTAGTGAATTTGAGAAGTATTGTAGTTAGTATACTTGGCATGATGGGCAGATCGAGTCGGCCTAAGGTAAAGCATGAAAAAGTTGGGGAGCTCCCACAGCATGATTCCAATGAAGGAACTTCTGCCCGGACTAGGCCTTTCAACTATGAAGAGATTATGTTAAAGAGGAATAGTAAAAAACTTAGTGATAATCCTGAAAGCGTCAAAGAAGGAAATATAAAAGTGAGGAAGATAGCGAGGGACATCCCAATCCTGAATGATTTTAATGTTAACAAATCTGATGGCGGGAATGGGCATGGAAAAGATTTTTCTCTTGGTCGTGAAAAGAACCTATTGGAGGGAATGGAGAAGAAGTTCCAACAAGAAAATAGGGAATTCATATAGGATAAATGATAACATCTCTAAACGGAAAACTAAGGAGAATCATGAGCCTGAAAGAAGATTGAAGTCTGAAGTGAAGAAAGATATGGGCATTGAGGATGAAGGCAAGTATGAGAAACAAAATCATGTGAAGAGAAAGCTGAGCAAACAGCTGGTGGTTCAGAAAAGTAGATGCAAAGAAGCATTCTAGAGACTTGGCGGATAGGGATAGCCATGTAGGTAGAAGTGAGGGGAAATCTGAGAGATGACAAGAGAAAACATCAAACTAGAGACAATGAACAAAATAGAGAAGGGCGTACTAATACAAAACATGAGAGTCGAAAGGGGCATGCTTCAGAAAGTAGAGACAAGAAGGAGACAAAAGAATCATCAAGATCATTTCATGCGGATTCACACCATAGAAGGACACGGTCACAAAGCCGGGAGCGTGACAACAAACATAGAAGATCTATTTCTCTCTCACCAAGGCCGCACAAGCGGGCATCTCATCATGCGTCAGAGCATGAACTTTCCTCACATGGTGTAAAAGGAAGGTATGGAGACAACATTCTGATGACAGGAGTAGAATGACAAGTAACGGTACAACTGGTCACCATAGGCGACTTGGCGGGTCCACTAGCGGTCTTGGTGGCTACTCTCCAAGGAAGAGAAAGACTGAAGCTGCTGTGAGGTCGCCCTCCCCAGCTCATCGCTCGACAGAGAAGAGAACAGCTAAGTGGGATCTTGCACCTTCAGAAACAGAAAATGTGGTTTCTGGTTCAGCTTCTTCTAATTTACCAGAATTAAGTCAAATGGTTTCCTTGAACATGCATGCTATAGTCAATCCTGTTCCCAGTGTTTCTGCAACAGGGAATCCTCTAGTTGTGGCTTCAACCAGTTCTTTATCCTTTGACTCAGTTCAACTGACAGAAGCTACCAGGCCTACGAGAAGGCTTTATGTAGAAAATGTTCCTGCTTCAGCCTCTGAAAAAGCTCTGATGGAATACTTCAATAAATTTTTGCTTTCATCTGGAATTAGTCATATCCATAGGACCAAACCATGTATTAGCTGCATTGTAAGTCTGATATATTATTTTGGTGTACATTTTCTCCTGTTAAACATATGAATGCCATATAGAAAGATGTCATGTTATGCCCTATAAATTGCAGATACACAAAGGAAAGGGCCAAGCTCTTGTTGAATTCCTTACGCCAGAGGATGCTTCTGCAGCTCTTTCTTTTGATGGCAGTACTTTCTCTGGTTCCGTTCTCAAAATCAGACGGCCAAAGGACTTTGTTGAAGTGGTAGTACAAATAATAAATCTATTACTTTAATTATTGATCATTGTGGATACTGGATATATATATTCTTTTCTCTTTTCAGATTTATTATACAGTTTTCTTTCTTGTTTGTGTATACTGAATTTATTTGTGGACAATCTTTAGGAATCTCTTTTGCTTGACTGCTGATGTGTTATTATTAACACTGCAATTTTTTTGTCTCAAAAACCAAGGAAAAGTATTTATGACAAGAAATTTCATAATTAGTCTTTGTAATTATTGTTGTTGGTATAATGACCTACAAATTTTTTTAAGTTCTGTAACTTCTGTTTAACTAATTTAGTTGTCCGCAATTATATATATTTGGTACTGTATGACTTGTAGAACATGTTGATTAGAAGTTTGCTATGTTTTTAATTAATTCTTTTCATCTACAGAAGTAATTATTCCTTTCTCTACAGTTTGGTGCAATTCTTAAAATGCCTCTTAAGTAGCTTTTACAATATTTTTACTTGAATTTAGGAGTACCCATTTAAATCCATAAGCTTGACACTTTGGGGTATGTGTCTTTGCTGTACACTGAGATGGATATACAAGGTGCCATTTGGCACATCAGTGTGTTGCACTGGGGAGTCCTGCCCGCCACACAACCTCTTATTTTCCACTGGACCCATGTACCAAACGCACCTTAACTAACCTCTTATATTAAGGTGGTGGTGTGTGATTCGTAAACTGCTCCTTAAATCAAGTAACTTTTACAATATTTTTACTTGTATTTAGGAATACCCATTTAAATCCATAAGGCTGACACTTTGGGGTTTGTGTCTATGCTGCACGCTGATACACGGGGCTTATATTAAGGTGCCATTCGGCACATCAATGTGGTGCAATGACGAGTCCTCGCCACACCTCTTATTTTCACTGGATAATTTTTGAACTGATGAAGCCTAAAGAGTTTTCTTTTCAAATGTTTCTGCACATCATGGTGCATTTGTGTAATTCAGAATATTGTTGTACTTTCAGACGTCAAATAACCTGGATAACTTTTATATGTTTTCCCTTCATTTATCTAGTCTTAGATAAAATATTTGTAATTTAATTAGCGATTTCTGTTCTGCCAGAAAGATGCTAGTACATTTCAACTGCTTTGCTGTTTCTGAGGTCAATTGTGGTTACCATCGTAACAGGTTTTCAGACAGTTGCTATTTTCATGCAGACTGGTGAACTGGAGAAATCAGGAGCAACGGTGACCACAGTCAATTATGTTGTGGAGGATTCACATCACAAGGCATGTGTTCATAATTTGAGTCTTTGCTACTCTTTTCCATAAATGATGTGTATTGCATGCTATTAAGGCACCACCTGTACTTTTGTAATTTACTTATAACCATCTTGCTGTTGTTTTTTTCCCTTTCCTTTTTCAATATTACGGCATGCACCATTGTGGATGGCATTCAATCTACTTGTACTGTTTTTTCCCTTTCTTGTGGCAATCTTTATATTTCCTTTTCCTTGTGAGTTGGTGCAGATATTCATTGGTGGAATTTCAAAGGCTCTTTCATCTGAAATGGTAATATGACTGTGGAAGTCCCAATGCTGCACAGAGATTATCTAGGGTCCTTTTATTCCTGCATTGTCTTTCTCTTCTCTACTAATCATCATTCTCTCTGATTTCCATTTACAATTTATCACCCTTATAAACCGACTAGGATCTCTATGCAATTTTCAGTTCATGGAGATTGCTAATTCCTTTGGTCCTTTGAAGACATATCACTTTGCTATGAACAAGGATCTTGGTGAACAATATGCTATGCTCGAGGTAACATGGAATGTATTGTTGGTTGCCTTTTTTTGTTCAAATGATTGTCAAATCATTGCTTTGTTCTCACTATTTCTTACGTCTATTATTTTCTTTTGTACGTGTAAACAATCTATGCTGCATGACTTGATTATCTGATAAATTAATGTCAGTATGTCGACCAATCTGTTTCTCACAAAGCCTGTGCTGGTCTGAATGGAATGAAGTTGGGAGGGCAAGTAATCACTGCAGTTGAGGCTGTTCTTGATGGCTTTTCCTCGGTACTAACAAGCACTGTTGCTTTTAACTAGCTTCAGCTCTATTTTTTTCTCACTAGTCGTAATATTCTGTGGAGATTGTACTAACTAGAGATACTTGTCCTAGGGAAATGGTGATCGAAATTCCTGTATTATTCCTGAACTTGCGAGGCAGCTTCTTCGAAACCTACTCAAGTCCTTAAGCTTAAAAATCTGGTAAAGTATATGGCTTAGATCCATTGTAGTTATGGTAATGATCTAATTTAGATTTGTTGTAGACAAGTTTATTTGTAGTCCACTAACTGGTGTTTTTTTCCTGGAAAGAAAACCATCTTCCTTATCGTAATTATTGTTTTTGTTTTGTGACTTAGTTCCCAGAAACTTTCATCGTTATCGGAACTGAGGTGGAAGATGTACTAGCAGATGTACGGTAGAGTGTTCCAGGTCTTACAACATCCGTACTTCAATTTATCTTCTTTCATGGTCATTTCTTTTGTGGGGTTAATCTGAATATATGTGTGTATATATACATCAATTCTGCAGGTTTGGTACTATTAAATCTGTTAATGTTGTCAACCATGGAAACAAAATCATCACAAATGGAGAAAACAAATGGATGGTTATACGAGGGAAACTGGAAACGTACAGAATGTAGATGATGAAAGTGTTGAAACCAAGACTACAAAAGAAGTTGTTGAAGGAAACTCTGGAGGTGCTGGTGGTTTTACTTTTTCGTGTAATTCTCCCGAAGTAGTGGTAGGCAACATGTATACTGATAAGAAACCTGTTAGCAACCTTTTGGACAGTGGGTTATGTCGACAAGGTGAGTTCGAAGGTAATATTAATAGAGAAGACAGAAACCATGGGAGTTTGGATGATGAGTCAGATCAACCAGGGGGCTTGATAGCAACAGGGCTTCTGGAGCTCAGGTTGTTACTGAAATGGTTGTGGAAGATCCGACCTTGGAGATTTTAGACAAGACAAATTGTCGAGAGGTTCCTAATCGGGTCCATACCTCAAAAGACAAATCAAATTATCGTTCTGACAGGTATTCTGATAATAACTTTAAAAGAGAAACCAAAACTGTTGAAGATATCAGTAGCCGAAGGTAGTGCAAATCCTAATGAAATCGATGGAGAATTACCAGAAGGTCATACTAAGGTGGCAATTGAAGATCCTGCCTTCAAGAGTGAGGCAATAACAGTGCTCAAGAGATCCTACCCTGCTGAAACCAAACTCTCGATATGACAAGGTTGCTGATATATTGATAGTGAATCATAAATGTCGATAAGAAATCATTGCCCAGAGAAGATTTCCATCAGGGAAGGTGATGGAAAGCTACCAGAAGCTCGACAGTTCTGTTGGTAGTCCGGGAACAGATTAGATGCTATTCAGAAGGATGAAAATAGCAAGGATAACGATTTGAACTGGATTTTGAGCCTGGTTGTGTGTTCGTTGAGTATAGAAGAACAGAAGCATCATGCATGGCTGCACATTCTATACACGGACGGTTATTCGATAACCGGATTGTGACAGTAGAGTATGTTGATCCGAACTCTACCAGCTGAAATTTCGAAGTTTGATCGGGTTTGAGTGAATGACCCTTAGTTGGGGCACTGGAAGAGGTGCTAAATCTATGTGACCAGCTTGGTGATGGTCACTCCATTTAAACTCAACTTCTATTCGACATTACTGTAAAAGTAGGTATATTTTCATGGATGGTTATAAGTTGTGTATTATACACTGGTATTTTAGTCTTGGAAGAATAGGGCTACTTTCCTTTTCCCCTTTAGATCACCATTAATGCAGGGATAATCTTGATACATCGCAGGTTTTTGCTATACATGCAATCTAACCCATGCTTTTTTCCAACGGCTCAACTTAGTGTGCTGTTAAATGACTAATTATGATTTTTTTTAATAAAAAGTGAGTAGTCTCTTATTTTAAAAATTAGTTGGTAAATTTATTTATTTAAATTTTATTTAACAGTGAACACATATGTAATTGTGAAAATTATATATAAAATTTCTTATTAAATATATGATTGATTCTTAAATGAGTAATTTTTAATAATTAAATAGTACTTTTTATATCAGTTGATATAATGATGTGTTATGTTATCCAAAATCTTCATTTTCTATAAAACACCTACTTCCAATCCATGTGTGTAACTGGTAAATACACGTGGAATACATATTTGCATATGACACTCATCTTCGAGCTCGGGTAAAGATGGTCATAAGGATATTGCCTTGAAAGAATGGACTGAGCATACATACTCTCACCCTCAAACATTTGTCATTTAATTGTTTGGAATAAGACGAATGATATGTTTTGACGGGGAGAATATGCCCTTTCACCGGAAAAAGGCGAACAAAGCAAACCCACGTGTCATTCTCCAACCACAAGACGAAGAAATTGCAGTTCGTGAATCTGCAATACAAGTTTGGTGGAAGCAGGTAAAAGCTATGGAAACTGAATTTGTCGACCATAGAGAGAATGGACTTGATCTTCGCAAGGAATGAAGATGTTTACATTGAGAAATGTATTTTCCAACTAAACAAAATTGTTGGTAAACCTCAAATGATTATGAATTCGTTATATTCATCAGTAATCATTCATAACTTTTTCTCATTCAAAGGAAATTTATTTTTTCCGTAATTCTTCGTAAGAGTATTCATGAAATTATGAATATTATAAAAAAATTATTGGAGTATTCAACTTTTCCTAACAACAAAAATTTTCTCAAATTTTTCGCAAAAGATTTCAACACAACTCCTTAAGATAAAAAACTTCTTTTATTTTCTCTATTTAAGAATATACTCATTGGCTACAAATAATCTTTTAATAGCACTAGTGTCTATCACTTTTTCATTCATAATATTCAACATATTAGTCTTAAAGAGATCATTAATATTTATATACTATGACTAAATTTAGTATTCTACTCAACCAAATTAATCTCTACAAATTCACTTTATTCATTTTGCCTACAAATCAAATTTTAGGTATTTATAATGTACTCATTTTATGAATAAATGTGGCAGTCCATCCTGAGAGAACTTATTACTTATATATAATGATTCCGGAAGATTCTTAATATAAATGTGAATATATGAATATGAAAATGTGACATCTTGATATAATAAGAATGATTAAGCATGATGACTCAAAGATTATGTTCTAGATTTGGCTAGTGTGATAATCGAATAAGATCAAACATAATAAAATTGTAAGAAATGCTATAAGTTCATAACTAACATATTTATTTTTGTGAGACTCATGAAATATGATAGTATATATGTAATCAATGAGCTTGTAACTCATCCTTCGATTATTTACATTCAAGGATTACATGTTTCATAGATCACGATGGAACAACAATATCATCATATGAGTCGTAGTAAGAATATTAGAGTACAATAATAAAGACTTGAGTCAGCAGGTAGAGGTTTGATTTATTTGAGTATGTTATAATGATTTACTTACATAGTTGATTTTCAAATAAGGAGCTTTATATTTTCTAAATCTTTATATTTTATGTACCTTTATTATTGATTTTTTTAATATGTATTGTCTTAGTATGTGATTTGTGGGATCATTTTGGTGGTCCAATGTGACATCTTTAAATTGGATTCGATTTTTTATATGGGTTGAAGGTGTTACACATGCAATAAATACAATTAGTATATACATGAAAAATCTGGGAAAATATTATTGGGAGTTGTCTAATAAATCTTATGATATATTTGAGGAATTTTATAAATCTTATGATATATTTGGAATTTTTTTATGTATGCAGTTCGAAAAAAATAAGACTAGAATGACATCAACCAATCAATTCCCATCATCTTTATAAATGCAAGCTTCTTGAATACTCTCAAGTTCCTGCGATCCACTTAATCATTGCTACAGCCTAACTCCGAATTATAGCCAGAGGAATCACCAAAAGCTAATGGCCTCATTACACTTGCCACATAATATCCAACCAACAAATTTCATTTAATCCCACTAAGCTTTGAATAAGGTAGAGCGGGACAATCCTTGTTTCGCTAAATGGTCTACCAATCCATCCACTTCCTTCAGAACGTACACAAAATTAACATGTGAATTTTTTTCAATAATCTATCGATCACATCAAAGAGATCCCACCAACGCCATGGTCTCAAAGACACTAATCCAATCCAATTCAATGTTATTTGGGTGTCTGATTCTATAATTAATTTTCAATGCTCATACCAATCAATTTCCAAGAATAGTTCCAAAGCTGTTTTTATAGCTGCCAATTCCGTTAGGTCCGAGCTAGCTGCTTCAACCGACCCTGAGAAGATTGCTTTTATGTCACCAATATTATCTCTCAATGCACCCTCGCACCCTGTTTTCGATTCTTCAAAGGCTCCATCAACATTAAATTTCAGACACCCACAGCAGCGGGAGGAAGCCAATCTATTGGAGATGGTTTTAGTAGGAGACACCCTGAAGGATCATTACTGAAGCCTGTAAAGAACACCCCACGGTTTTGTTGACTATTAAAGCCGAGTACATGACAATTACTAAAGCTTGTAAAGAAGCGATTTAGTTAAAAAAATTCTTTGGTGAACTAAGTGAAGACATTCAAATCAGTATATATTTTGTAATACTCATAGTGTTATCTTTCTTACGAAGGATCATGTTCGAATCAATTTGTATGTGATGTTATTGCTCAAGGTGACATTGTCGTGAGCAAAATTAGAAGTCATGATAATCCTACAAATATGCGAACAAAGTCATTTCCTATAATTAAGTATTGTTTGGACTTGGTTGGTGTTTATTGTTGAAGGATACCCCTTTAAGGGTTTTGTGGAAGAAGCGGAGAACTTCTTTGTTGAAGTGAAAAATTATTTTTGTTGAAACCTTTTTAACATAAAATGAAATGTTGAGGGCTAAAATGTCTGGGGAAAAAAGAATGAAGAACAAAATGATTATTCTGTCAAATGCTAGGGGCTTTTTGACCTAAAATAAAACTTTAGGGTCAAATTGCTCCAAAAATAGAATATGAGACAAAATGTTTTAATAAATGTTGGAGGTTAATTTTGACATTATACTTGAAACATTTATCTTAGCATAATTTGTATGTATTTTTAAATTTGAAAATATAATAAGAATAATACATATTTAGAATTAATCTAAAAATATATAGACCACACTAATATAATTTTTAATATAATTTATATATTTTTAAATTATATTTTAATTTTTTTTAAACATGGGGTGGGCCAATGGCCTATGTAGGAACAAATGTTTGGGTCCAAATATATAAATAAAATAAGAAATAGAATGAGATGTTTGATCATATATATATTTTGTATTTGTATATGAATTTATGAACCAAATCAGTTAAGACAAATCTTTTATGATGTGAAATCATATTTTATATAAGT